AGGCAACGCTTTGATATTCAACGCCAGGCTATGCCATGTTCTGTTCTGTGCCGCTGTGCGATGCCATTCTTTGCGTTGCAATGCTTCGTGATGCAAGTCTTCACTACGCAACTCCACGCCATGCTACGACACACTACGCTCTGCCATGCTCTTCTACGCCCTGCTATGCCGTGTTCTACGATGCAACGCGCATTCTCTCGGGATCATTGTCCTGCTCGACATCCGACTGTGCGAATAGAGAGGAGATCTACGACACGGTCAGGGATGGGAGGGAGGGGTAGGACGTCAGATAGGACGCGAGCGCACCTAGCTTGTCACCCCCCCTCCCCTGTCTCTTCTTTGTTTTTTTCTCCGGCAGGTCACTGGGCGCACGCACCCGAAGCGTAAGCCTCCCCTGCCTCCCCCTCCTCCTCAACCCCATTTAACTTATGAGCTCCACCCTGCCGACCCCGAGACACGTGCCGGCAGGCCGGGCCGGGCCTTCCGCCCGAGACTTCCCTACCACTTATGATGGGAACCATTGCCACGGAGAGCGGACCGTTTTCGACATGTCTCGCCTTTAGCGCCGCGCGCATTCGTTTCAAAAGTGCCAGAGAGTCACGGATGGAGGACGGTACCTTTTCAAATCGAGGATCCCGCCTTAGCTCCGAGCACACTCGTCAGAAAGGGCACGGCAATTTCATAGCTGACGTCGCAGACATGGAGTTTTGGCCGATGTAAGCTTGTCAGGGCGCAACAATTACATGGACTCGGGGTGTTAAAGTCCCAGGAATGGCGTTCTGGCGCGACTCAGGAACGTCAAAACGAGACAGTAACGTTGATCCGCGGCGTTGAAGTCCTAGGAACTGTGTTCTGGCACGGTTCAGGATTTTCAGACGGGTATCTTCCAACGGGGCACTTCCCTCAGTGAGCATGAACCTTGGGAGGGACCTCTGAAGAGGGAATATGAAGGTTCTACAACCGTTGATGAGTTTTGGGTGGACACGCTCCTCGTCCTCATCCTCCTCGTCAGGGAGAAAAGGAGAAGTACCAGATGGGTCCATGTGCGATGGGGGCCTCGCGCACCCCGGAGGCACAGGCGGCCGTGCTGTGGCACTGCCGCCACGCCGTCAGGCACAGGGGCGCGATGCAGGCAGCGGGGGGATGCAAAGAGAGGCGAGGCCGCGGCCCCTGCAACGGGCGCCACGGCCGTCGCTACAATCTGAGGGGCAACGCGGGTGGGACTGGCTCCAGGGGGGGGGAGCATCTGCTTGAAATCGGCGATGCATCGCCGACAGATCGGCGATAACCCCCCCGATAACAGACCCGCGGGTTGCTGGACGGGGTGGACTAACAGCCCCCTTATTGGCGATGAATGGGCAATTGAGGTTCCACGCATTTCCCCCTGAGCCGATCCCTCTACCCCCAAAGCGTTGCCCCTGGCCGCCAGGAAGGAACGGATGCCTGAGACGAGACCAGGACCAGGACAACATCGGACGAGGACACATCGGGGATCGCTGAGATCGGGCGGTTCTGGAGGATGTTTGGGCCGCGACAACTGAGGGGGCCAGCGAGGGCTGCAGAAAAGCGGCCCTTCAGGGCCCCTACCAGGGCCCCCCTCGGGCCCAGAAGGCGGCCTTTCGGGCCGTCAAGGGCACCTGGTTGCCCCCTCACGTTTCATTCCCCAGCTCACTCGCGCCCACGATGTATCGACACCGAGGAGGAGGAGGAGGAGGAGGAAGAGGAGGAGGAGGAGGAGGAGGAGGAGGAGGAAGAGGAGGAGGAGGAGGAGGAGGAGGGGGAAGAGGAGGAGGAGGAGGGAGGCAGCGAGGAGAAGGAGGAGGAGGAGGAGGAGAAAGAGGAGCAGGAGGAGGAGGGGGAGGATGGAGGAGCGATCTGCCCCAACCCGCGATCCAATCTTGCGTTCGACCAGGCCCGTGGGGCCAGCCCGGGCCGAGGCCGTGCGGCCCAATGCCTTCAAGAACCCATGGGAGGGGGCGACCTCCTCTGCCCCCCTGGAAGGTGGCACGCCCAAGCGTCACCCAGTGACGGACGAGGGTCTGGCGTGCCACCACGCAGGTGTGGGATCCCCCCCGAGCGGTTCTCGGCGGCGAGCGATGGGGGGGGGACGTGAGGAGGAGAAGGCCTTCTCAGAGGGCGGCGGGACTTCGCAGAAGCCCTCGCGCCTTCCGAGAACTCTTCTGCGCCTTCGGGGAAGGCTTCGCACACTTCTCAGAAGGCTGGACTTCCGAGCCTTCTGAGAGGGCCTTCTCCTTCCCACCTCCGCCCCCAGGCTCGCCGCTGATCTGTGGCAGTGGCCTCTGCTCCTCATCCGGCACGAGGAGACGGAACGGCATGGGGCGTAAACATAAACTCGCGGGGCTCAGCACGGATCCTCCCGTATCGGCGCTGGACCCCCCTTCCCTGGACCGCGGAGCGCGCCGGGGGCGGCGCCGGGCGCGCCGCCATGGAGATCTGGCGCCGATCCAAGAGATCCGCGCGCGGACAGCCGAAAGTTTACGCTAACGGATCTGTCGGCAGAAGTGGGTGAAGACATGAAGTGGGAAGGGGTTGAAAGTAGATTGTGCTCCCGCGTGCCCCCGAAGAGAGGAAGGAGCATGACCGCCTAAATTTTGCAGAACAAAAAGGCGTCTACGGTACAGTGCGGGCGCGGCCGCAAGAAACCCTCGCAAGAAACCCAACCCTGAGAACCCGTGCGCGAGGTGCACCTGAGGGGAAACCTGGAGCACCCTGAACGCAGCAGCTCCTTGAACGGCTGCGGGAAGTCACCGCGCAGCGCGAGGAGCGAAGAAACCCAGGGTACCCTGACGAAAAGCATATGGTTTCTTGATGCGCGCCCAAACTGTGTACTGGAATCTGGGAGTCCACAAATACGGATCTTCAACGACCGGTGGGCACGGTCGAGAACCTCTGCATAGCGTGTCGCGACGCCGGACCTGGCGACACGCTGGCGAGTGGGTAGCGTGTCGCTCCGCTCCGCGTGGCGGCAGGCCGGAGAAAGGCTCGGGACTCCGTGGACAGCGTGACGCGCCGAGGCGTGGTGTGACAGAACCGGCGGAGCGACACCCGCTAAGGCAACACCCCTGACCTCGTGCCGCTTTCCCTCTTCCGAGGTCGCCGTGCCGAGCCCTCGTCGGCCCGAAGGGCCCCTTGGCGACCTACTGTCGCTCGGAAGCGCCCGCGAGGCCGAAGCGGGCACGCAGTGGGCGGCCGCGCCACTGCTCACCGCCCGCCGCGGCGGTCCGCGGAGGGGCTCATTCGGGGATGAGGCCTGCGCGCGGGCGACGGCCGCTGTCCGCAAAGGGGAGTATTGTTCCTGCCCTTTTCCGCCCTCTCCCCTCCCTTGGCCTTCTTTTCTCCGCCCTCCTCCTACACCCTGTCTCCTCCTTCTCCCCTCGCCTCTCCCACGTCGCCATCTTGCCCGCATCATCCCCCTCCTCCCTCCTCCTCCTCCTCCTCCTCCTCCTCCTCCTCCTCCTCCTCCTCCTGCTCCTCCTCCTCCTCACTCCTCCTCCTCCTCCTCCTCCTCCTCCTCCTCCTCCTCCTCCTCCTCCTCCCTCCCTCCCTCCCTCCCTCCCTCCCTCCCTCCCTCCCTCCCTCCCTCCCTCCCTCATCTCGGCCCGGCGGCGCCAGAGTTGGCCCCGCACCCCATCGCCGTGGGGACCGCCGGGCAAGCGAGAAAGAGTCTAGTCTGCCAATTACGGGGAGGAAAAGGAGGGGGAGGAGGAGGGAGGAGGAGGGGACGGTCGCGCAGGAGGCGCACCGGCAAGGGCGGCCCGGCAGGGGACGGGGAGGGAGGGGGAAGGGAGAGGGGGATGGGGGGCAGCGGTGTCCGTCGGCGTGGTGGTGGTGGTCAAGCCGGTGGTGGTCTTGGTGGTCGTGGTGGTCGTGCTGGTGGTAGTCGTTGTGGTGGTCGCGATGGTGGTGGTCGTGGTGGCTGGTAGGTGTGGTCGGTTTGCTTGGTCGTGGCGGTCGTGCTGGTGGTGGTGATTTTGGTAGTCAATCAGCTGGTGGTTGTGGTGGCCGTGCGGGCGGCGGTGGTCCTGAGAGTCGGCCGGGGTTTTAGTGGTCGTACTGGTGGTTGGTCACGCGGTGGTGATAGTGGTCCGCGCCTACCTCCCCAGGGCGCTCAGGATCATCTCAGCACTCCCTTGTTGTAGGCTGCGTGAGATGTCCCGCCAGATCCGGCTCAAGAGCTCGGACCGGTCGGCATCCTCAAGAGAGGCGCCGTAGCTCCGAACGAAGCGTACTGCCTCGTCGGACGGCCGCCCCCCGGTCACGAAGACCATCGGGACGACGTCTAGGCCCTCCGGGGGGGGGTACCGGCCCCGTTTGTCGTCGACCATCTGGGCTGCTGCGAATCCGTCTCGTTCGGCTCGGGCGTGCCTGCGTGGGCGTAGGTGGAGTGTACGCAGGTCACCGCCCTGTCGACAAAGATGGGTCGACCGGTGCTGGGGTCGTGTGTCCGGATGTCCAACTTTGTTTTCTGAAGGACCCCGGTGTGGAGATGGCGGCGATCCCACGCTGGAACGCGTTGTTCCGTCGGAGCAGCATGACCCGTGATATCCTTATGCATGGATGCATGTCGGTCCCGGTGGCGGTCGTGCCGGGCGGTGCGGGATTGGCCCGCCTCGCATGACATGGCATGGAACCCGTGTGGGGCGAGGGGCTCTCCGCACAGCGTGCCGTCTTGTCGTCGGTGTTGGCAGCGCGAACCAGCGGGGCTGACTGGTGCTCGCAGCCGGCACATGAGGTTCACCTCGAAGTGGTCGTCTGGCTGCAGAGGGTCTCCTGGTTGTCGAGGTTGGAGAAACGCCCCTGCGCCAACGCCGCCGCACTCCCGGAGCGCCAGCCGGTCGTTTTCAGGGAGCTCCCGCAGCAGTCGTTCTCGGCTTTTCCCGGAGGCTGCCTTGCTCCACGCGCCCTGGAGCTTAGCGTGGGGTTCCTGAAGACTGTCCGCCTGTCGCCCCCGAGGCTTGTAGCGCTTGCTCGGCTTGGGCGAGTGCTTGGAGGGTCCGCGGGCACCGCGTCCGGAACCCCTCCAAGCCACTTCTGGTCGAGGTTTCTTGCAGTTGCAGCGTCCGCTGGCAACCCCAGTCCGACCAAACATGTTTCCGGCGGTAAGACTCCTTACGGCCGGAAAAAAACCCAGAGTGATGCGTCTCACTCCGAGCTTTACCTTTGCCTCCTCCTTCTGGTGGACCTCCGCCTTCTCCTCCTCCTCCTCCTCCTCCTCCTCCTCCTCCTCCTCCTCCTCCTCCTCCTCCTCCTCCTCCTCCTCTTCCCCCTACTGTGAATTGTACTCCATACAATGCAGTTGCTAGTGTGTTTGTGAGGATTTCTGACATAAGATGTTAGATACTTCCCTCCCCCCAGCATGCATGGCAGAGCAGTGTGTAGCACGCAGTGCAGAGCAGCGGTCAAGACAGCAAGCACCATTGCCATCTTTAGCTGGAGAGGCCTCTCGGCAGACCAAAAGGCTATCATCACCCTTCCCCGCCCGCAGAGCGTGATCGGGGACGGTGTCGATGACGTTTCGGCCGAGGACGGGAAACGGATTTCGAGTTGGGTTCGACGACTTCGGGAGCGTTGAGCGGTTGACATTGGTAGCGGAGCAGGAGCTCCACGGACACGGACATAGAGAAGTACTTCAACGATGCCACCACCGGACGGCAAAGGGGGGCGAGGAGCAGCAGCAGGAGGCGCGCTCGGGCGCGCTGCGGCGGCTGGAGATGGACAGCAGCTCTCCTCTGGATTCTTGGGGCGAGCCCCAGAGTTCGACGGCTCGATCGACGGGTACAAGACCTTCCGACGGAAGGTGGAGATCTTTGCAGCACGGGCTCGTGGACGAGAGCAGGAAAAGACAGTAGGCTTGGAGATCATAACGGCCGGGCGTGGGAGGTGGTCGAGGACATAGACATCGAGAAGCTCGAGGAGGAGAAAGGATGGCGGACCATCCAAGACGCGCTCGACCGGGCGTACAAGTACGACCAGATCACGGAGCTGCCGACAGATTTCGATACGTTTTTCTTCAAGTCAGCTCGCAGGCCCAAGGAGACGCTGATGGATTACCTCACGAGGTTTCGCACGGCCGAGCGGAAGGTTCGCGCACGCGACGTCAGCTTACCAGACAAGGTACTCGGCTGGTTCCTGTTACGACGGGCAGGGTTAGACAAAGAGTGCAAGCAGCTGATCACGAACCAGGTCGGCGACAACCTCTCGCTGGACAAGGTCGAGAGCGAGATGAAGAAGACGTTCGGCCTGGACTCATTTCCAAGTTACAGAGCGAGCTCGGGAGCGGCAGCATACACCCTGGACGACTACGACGACGAAGATGAGTACCAGGAAAAGGCCTACTACGGCCACGAGGAAGACGAGTACTACGAGGAAGCTGCAGAGGATCAACAAGTGTATGCAGGGCCCAGCTTCGACGCAGAGGCGGCCTACTACAGCGAGACGACTACCATGAGTGGCACCCCCATGCCGGACGTCGTATGATGTGGATCAGTACGACGAGATTATAGCAGCCTACACGGACGCGAGGCAGAAGATGAACGACATGAGGTTGGCGAGAGGTTTCTACCCAGTTCTTGCGATGGTGCCGCCACCACAGAGAAGCTCAACGGCCATCGTTCCCAGGGCCGGCCAGGCTCGAGGACGAGGCGCGGCACGCGGCTGGCAAGAATACGTACACCAGCGGCTGCGGCCGAGGTCCACCTGGACGAGGTCAGTCACCACACCCGCCACCTATCAGAGCTACAGAAGAAACGATATGCCTACGATGCGGAGGTCGAGGCCGCTTCGCCAGGGACTGCCCGCACGCGAGCCGCAAGAGACAGCGCGTGGGGGGGGCGACGCGGCCGAGGCGAGGATGGTCACGGATGAGGCGGAGGACGTTTACAACTCGACCGAGCTGGAGCCATCGGAGGCGATGCAAGACAGTGGAGCGACCAGCGTGATATTGGGCCATGAGACGCTCAAGGGCTACTGCAAGCAGCTGGTTGCCAGAGGGTTCCCGGTCAACAAGATGAAGATTTTCCCGTGCAACAAGAACTTCAGGTACGGCAACGACGCGACCGGCGAGGCGACCGCATGTGTCATGGTACCCTCCTTCCCTGGCGGCAAATTCGTGGAGATCCTCACTTACGTGATCCCCGGACACACGCCATTCCGTTCGCTAGGCTGGTGATGGAGGAGCTGGGCATGGTCGTGGACTACAAGAACGAGAGGGCATGCTGGGATGGTGACGGCAAGTGGTTTCAACTACGCCAGCAGCCCAAGCGAGGACACTTCATCATGGACATGCTGGAGAGCTACGATGAGTGCATGAAGGAGCGCGCCGACCAGACCCTGTTGCCGCAGAATATGCTGGACCATGTTCGCATGCAGCACCCGATCAGCCCCTGCACATTTTTGGGTGACGAGGTGCTTGGCTACGAGGAGCTGGTGGATTTCATCGGCAACATGGTCGAGATCGACAACAAGGTCACCCCGACAAAC